AAGTATTCCATTGATATTATTTAGATGTTTCCTGATTGACATGATAGCTCTCTTGTAAAAACAAATAGTAAATCTTACTAACTCTCATATGCTCAAACTTTAGGCTGAGATGTCAATAATGTAATCACATAGACTTTTCAAGAGTTTGATAACGATTGCAATATTCAAGACATAAAAATTGTAGGGTTGGGCATTTAATACGTCGTATATAAGTTCTTCAGGAACTCCTTTTACATGATTCATAACATGTTATTAAATAAGTGTCATCAATAATTTCATTACAATTATAAGCCCATTGGAATATAAATATCTCTTTCTAATTTTTCATCAAAGTTGTAAATATGTCTTACTATACTTTGAAAGAACATTCACATACACCACAACCATTATATGAAATTAATCCATGCAATATGAGATATATAAAACATTATAACATATAAACAAATTATACAATGAGTAATGCATCTAACTTCCTACATATGCAATAAACCATTAACCTATGACTCACATACACATGAATATAAGACTTGAAATAATGCAAGACACTGTACAGTGTGGATTTAAAAATCCATATTTCATTGGACTTCGGGTCCATGATAAACTTATGATCATTATCATTATGTCGACATCAAAATGTACATATATTTCAGATCCATTACTTGTGGATTTAAAAATCCATATTTCATTCCATTATGCATATGCATGTTATTCATCGGTTCCATTATGTACCGGTATCATAAAATTCCTTTAACTTACTTTCCGCATGCTATTTTACTATGATATCTGAATACATTTCTCATTGGTACCATCATAATTTTTTCTTACATCATAGGCCATCTATTATAATAATTCAGATATCTATATCACTTTTAGGGTATTTCATACACTATGATATTTATATACTATTACACTATTAGTGTCAACTGCACTATCTTGCCTAATATCATATCTATTAAACATATCTTTATTTTGGAACCGATCATATACAACCTACACTTCAGGTGTAGTGATTCAAGTACAATTGGCAAGATTTTATCTCAATGTATACACATAATTAATATGACCAAAATGTATCTTCAACGCTATGCAACATGAGTCATAACTGAATACAAATCAAATCATAAATGTGCAACATATCTTGATAATGTATATACAAAAGTTGGCATATATAAATTTTCAAACTACCATTATAGGGATCATATTTATTATTTATTTATTTTAATTAATTTTTCCAACTTTTTCTAATTCGTTCTTCTCCCCCTAAGTTGGTAAAATATCTCATTTATAGGGGCATCTTATTATATACCAACTTAGTAGACAAATTTGCATTAATAAAATTCACTTCATTAGGAGGATCACAATCAAAATTTATCTCTTCTGGAGAACAATTTTAATAAAGAATTATTTATTCATTAACTTTATAATTCATGTGTATTTATTATTAAATTTTCAATAATATTTTTCTCTTCTGCAGATCAATGTCAATGGGGAGACATATGTTGTGCAGTTGTACATTTTTCTTTCTTCTCCTATTTCATATGTGCTGACATATAATAGCCCCAATCAAAAAAATTGTTATACAAGCATAAATCACTTGCTCGTAATTCTAGTTGGTGATGATCTTCAGGATCTTTAAAAACTTAAATAGTATATTTGGTGAGCCTCTAATCACTTGATAGTTGACAATAATATATAAGTTATTTTGGTGAACTTCTGGTCAGCCATTACTCCTTTATATATATAAAAAAAAAATCAAAACATATTAAATCTTGAAATTTCATCAATACAAATTATTATAACTCACAATCCAAATGTAAACCAATCTCAATGTTACGTCTTGCCATTCAATTCATTTTATATATTTAACATTGAGAAAGCGTCAGCACATTATCAAATGAAACTTCAGGTTTCCATTACGGGTAATTATTATTAAACCCGGATGGCCTAATTTAATTATCACATCCAATCACTTCTCTAAATTTGAACACTGGTCAGTTTTCAACACTAGTGATCACTTTATTAAACTTACTATATGCATGGCCATGAATGTGATGTGATTTTAGAATACCAACATGTGTTTCTTTATACAATTGGCAAGACAATCGATTAATATTTTATCCAATAATTACTCATACTCTACTGGAGTTTAAACTATAAACTTGATACATGTTAATCTTGTTGGATATTTCATACTCTTCTGGAGTCTTTTATATATAATCAAACATATGAACTTTACTAACAGTGATTTCTTCTAGAAATATAATGATATTTACCACTTCCTCAAATTTGTCATTGTCATTGGATTCATTGTTACGACACTAGAAGATCTCAAGTTATGTATTCATCAGGGGGAGAAAATACGCGCTGCACTCTTTTTCCCTTAACCATGGTTTTGTCCCAAATTAATTAATGAGGATTGGAAATGATATGACATTCTTGAAACGTGTGATTTCATTATTAAAAGATTAAAACCCATGATCAAAATTAATCTCCTTCTAATTTCTTCCCAAGATGCGACATAAGAAGATAATAATTAGAGCTTTGGTGCTGATAACGTGTTATGAAAATAGAGAGAAATATAAGAGAGATTGATAGAGAATAAATCTGTATATATTATTCCATATGATAAGGTGTATATATACATACAATATATTAGGGTTTGATTGGATAAGAATATAAACCCTAGATCTACATTGTTCCGGAATGACACAAAGGAGGATAATGGATATCCACAAATATTTCATAACACAACTTTCTATTTCTTTCTTTTTTTGGTAAATTTTTTCATATAAAATTACTGTTTTATCCTTACTAAAAAAACCATAATCTCAATTACATAACATAATCTGATCAAATTAAACCATTTATCCAACATCATTAAATTAATGATTTTACACAATCGCTAATTTGGGTTCTTCTTCCTCCATGAGTTTCTCTCTCCTTCCTCCATGAATTGCTTTCTCCTTCCTTGATCTAACCCAGACTATCCTCACATTCGCTCTCAGATCTAACGCAAGAAAATCCTCATAATCGCTCTCAGATCTAACCCACAAAATCCTCAAAATCGCTCTCAGACCTAACCCACAAAATCCCCACGAAAATCCTCACAAAACCCACGAAATCTTCACAAAACCTCACAAATTCCTTCCAAAACCCACACAAAACCTACAAATTCCCACAATTCCTCACAAAACCCACGAGTTTGCGCAAAGAGGGTGGTTGTTCGAGGTGGTTTGAGTTGAAAAAGGTTAGTTATAAGGTGGTTTGAGCTAAAAGGAAGTGGTTTCGGGGTTGTTCGACCCAAGAGGGGAAGTTTTCAGGGTTGTTTAGGTGGAGAGCGAGTGGGTTCAGGTGGAGAGGGAGTGGTTTCACGGTGGTTTCAGAGTGTGAGGTGGGTGGTTTTGAGGTGGTTGTTGTTGGCCGGCAGTGGTGGGTTGGCTACTGTTGGTTGACGGTGGTGGGTAGGGTGATGTTGATGGTGGACTGGTGGTGGGTAATTTTTAAAATAACCTTCACTTTCTCTCTTCTACCTTGCTTAATTACCTATTCTTTAATTCATAATCCATCATTATGAAATTTTGTCTATATTTCTTAACTTTATAAAGCAATAAAGCACTCTTATCACACCCCCACCACAGAAAATTAAACACCCTAATGAATTGCAGAAATCATCAAACAATACCTTGAAGATCATCAAAATCAGCATCTTCGGCAAGAAGAAACATCATATCATTAAAAGCTGGAATTGCGTTGTCAACATCACCTTCACCTTCACCTTCTTCATGCCCTCCTTCAGGAACATCTCCAAGTTACATGAGTTGATGATAGAGAGACCGTGAAAAACATACACACCCAATAATATGACCAGCTAATAAAGAAATTATTAATTATAATAACGGCGCACTTCTAACTTAAAGAAAGAATGAGGGCTCACGTAGTCCCATAAATACGTAATGCTTAGAAAATTTTGATTTATTTAGGAAACAATGGGGGACAAATCAGATGAATTTGTTTTATTTGCTCACGTAAAAATGGATAAATTGATAAAGTAAACTTAATTGTATCATACGGAGTACAATACGTAGTATTTATTTTTATCTATTGAAATTAATTACGAGTAGTTTATTTATATTGAAGATATTCAGGCAATAATGATGTGGTGTAGTTGGCTGATATAACTTAAGAGGGAGGAAATGCAAATATTTATGCAAAGTTGAGTACAGCAGACTTCATCAATTTAAGTACAGAAGTACTTGACACCCTGCAACTTATGTCATGGGTTGGGTTGGCTAGGACGGCACTATTCATTTATTCCCCAATTTAAACCTTGGTCTGATCTAATTTAAGCTTCAATGAGTATTAAACGAGTTTTAAATGAGCTTATTCTTTATTGTATACTCGCATGAAATGTTGCAAGTATAAAATGAGCTGAGTACATAGTAATTTGAATTACACTCAAGTTTTGTTCAATTTTATCAATTGTTTACTGGATGAACAAACTTTAATCAAGTCTCAAAATCACCACTCTATCACACCCCCACTACAGAAATTCCCACCCCTCTCCCAACCCCACCACCAAAAATACAAATCCAGCAGATGCAGAAAAACAAACCCTCATAAATCCTCAAATCAAGAACTCAACAAAATCTAATATACCCTACAACACATGCTTCACAGTGCTAAAATAATCAAATCAATACAAGGAACATCATCAAGAACAGCATCGGCATCTATCATGTCAACATCGCCTATCCTTCTCCTCCTTCAGCAACTTCTTCAGGTATCTCTGTAAACATCAGAAAATCTGCCTTACTTCAGTAGACTCTATGGAATGTAGATTGTTTTCTAGTAGGAGTCAGTCTGATATTTTGTACATTGTATATTAAGAGTCAAGGAATTAATAACTAATAATTTTTAGGCCTCTATGCCTTCTTTTAAGGCTCGCTTGCATTGAGAAATACACAGAAAAGGGAAGGGGGAGGGGGAGGGGGGGTCGACGATTTCCAAAGTATTTTATTCAGGCCTAAGAGGGAGAAAATGTCTATTTGTTTTCCGAGATTGGTGTTAGTACTGGGAGAACTTTTACCCATCGCTTCCATTCTGCCACCACTCTCTTTCTCTCTTCTCCCCCCTCTGTTAACATTATTCTTTCTCTGATTATCTAATGGTTCCGGCTTAATATTGCGTTAGGCCCATTGGGACAGATGTAAATTTTTTTGTGACTAGTGGTGCTATTTTTTCACCCTGCCACGTCACACTATTTTTATGTCATGGTTTATTTACTTTGCAATTTCAGGTTCAAGCTCTTGTTGGATTTGAGAAGACTATTAAACACCTTGATGAACATTTGGTAAACATCAGTTCAAAGGTAAGAGAGTTGAATAAAGTTGGTTTTGCTTTAGTTATTCTTGTATTGAACGAGTTCCAGTTTGTATTACCCTATCCTATACTTTCTTTGTTAGTCAAAAGTATGGTATTCCATGAAGTTATTTCATACGGAGTACTTGCTAGTTGCTACACAAATCAATAATTTCTACTTGTTTCCCTATTATTATTAATACTTTATACTTACCTGGGCTAGTCTAGTAACATATTTAAGGAAGTTAATATTTTCATATTCTCTGCTCAAAGCATACTCACCTACAGCATTGAATTGATACAATTACTTTTTACTCGTTGAGAATTGATTAGTCGAGCCATTTGAACTTTTCCAAATATTATTGTGATTGTCGAGTCACTAACTTGGCAAATTTTGAATGATGTTCAGGGTATTACAAAGCCCAAGGAAGTATGGAAGTTTAAAGGAGAAGGAATGTCACTGTATTTGAGCAACAAGAAAGGTGATCTCTATGTCACCCTTGAAGTTTTGTTTCCAACTTCATTAACAGAAGAACAGAAGATCAAAATCAAAGAAATTCTTAGTTAGATTGTCGTAAAATTTTGTTTGATCAAGAATGTTCTAATGTACCCACTGTAACATGAATACATGGTGAACCTCTTACCTTAGCTCCCGCGCCTTATTTTTCTTTTAAAATTATCCTTCTTGATTTTTCATTTTTATGAATTAGATTAGGTTCTTCTTGGTGCTGCAAATTTGCAAATGTCCTGTATTTATAAGGGCTTCTTGTCACGGGTCGTCTCCCACACCAAGGATGGGCGTCAAGAGGGTCACTAGGCAGCAAGGCAACAATCGGGGCTAGGGGACTTACCTTGGTGCTCAGCTAAGCACCTCTTCCTTTAAAGCTTTATTTAGCACGTACCTTGCTTAAAATCCTAGTGAACACCCACTTGACAGTAACACAATAATGGGCCATTTGGACGGGCTAATGGGCTCCAAATGGGATCAAATTTTGGGGTCCACCATATTTTGGGCCAAGGAAGACCATGGAGGTGTCGGTTTTCCAAACAGAGGTCCCGGAATATGAGTTTGGCAGCGGCAGTCCGGAATACGTGAGATGCTTCTAGAAGGTTCCGGGCTTGTCTAGAGTGATCTTTTGATGGAGTATTCTAGAGGGGATGTCTCTAGAATATTCAAGGGTCTTCATGTACATAGTAGAAGTGTCTAGGGTCTTCTTGTATGTACATAAGAGTTGTAGTGTTCTAGAATGTTAACATTCTACCTAGGGAAGGATGTAGAAACCTCCTTGTATCTATGTTCCTTTGGAGGTGGGAACGTTCTAGAGTAGAGTAGAGAGTGGTAGTCTAGAACCATCCATTTGAGGAGGTTAGGAACTCTCTAGATTTTTAGGGTAGAGCTTGGATGCCTATAAATAGGCCATCCCATTCATTTGTACAAATCAGTCAACACAAGTGTAAAGTTCTCTCAAGCAATCAAAGCATTCCTTCGAAATCTCTGGTGAGCATCTTAAATATCTTACTTAGCCAAATTCGTAGCACACTAACGGATGCTGTCGATTTAGGCAAATAAGTCAGCTGAGGTTACGAAAATACCTTTGTTGGGTTTAGGATTGTTATAATATCAATAGTGTTATATATTCTTTTGACTTTAATGGACATTTATCAATTATATGGCATGTCTTCAAGACCTCTTTTATCAAAGGTTGGATAAATATGAGTACGTGACAATTAATTTTGAATTCAGGACATAGTTTACCTTGATAAAAACAGTACGAAATACCTAAGTCGGTTGAATGTTTGTTACGAAGTTGGTCATTCATAGTCATTTTTACTATAACCTTTTCTCTAAAGAAGCAACAACCATAACTCATTTGATTATTATCTTAAAAATAAATGTGTGAGAAAAAACATGTCAGTACTACGTATGTATTTTATGAGGAGATGTGTGTACTCTTTGTCAATTATGTTACTCTTAGTCATCATCTTCGATGTGTGTCCTATATGTCTATATGATTATATTGATATCTACTCTTTACAACTTGTATAATTTATCATTTGAATACAAAACAAGCATAAATTATGTCAAAGCTCTGAAACCAATCCAATCAACAATGGCGTTATTGTGAAATTTAATGAAACTCCAGCACAAAATCAAATAAACCCCCATAAATCTCTAAATCAAGAACTCAAATAAAATAAACCCATAAAACACTATTCAAACATGAGCTCAACAAAATTAAATCAATACCTTCTCCAATAACAACATCATCTTCAACAACAGCAGTTTCAACATCACCTCCTTCTTCAGGTATATCTGTAACATAAACCCATAAATTTCCATAAAACTCAAATAAATCAAGAACTCAAATAAAATAACCCATAAAACACTTTTAAAACATGAGCTCAACAAAATTAAATCAATACCTTCTCCAAGAACAACATCATCTTCAACAGCAGCTTCAACATCAACTCCTTCTTCACGTATATCTGGAACATAAACCCATAAATTTCCATAATAAAAGTCAAATAAATCCATATATATCAGCATTTCAACATACCTACGGGAAGAGCTGCATTGTCTTCAAGAATCTTTGGAAGATTTTCAGATTCTTCAATTGAGATAAAGATCATAATTAGCAATTAGCAATGAAAATTGGTTCAAGAAGAAAATAAAATAAAATAAAAACTTGTACCATTATTATTACTATAATCCGCCATAAGAGTTGAGCTCGATTATTATGAAAGTTTAGTAAGCTAATTTGTTATTAGTTACTTAGTATAGAGTATTAAAGTATGATGTTCTCCGTAAACTATTTATAATAATCTATTTACGGATTACTAATATAAATGCCTCTGTGAATATTTTTTAAAAAAAAAAAAACTTTTGCAAATAATATTTAAAATAAAACTGGAAATCGGAAATTGTTACATATACTTGGGGCCGGAAAAAAGTGGGATTTGTTGTATACACCCGGGTGTACCGTACACCCAACCCAACTAACCCGAGGTTAGTTTTAGCTCATGGGTCGGTGCACCCGGGTGTATATAACACGCTTTCGGAGAAGAGAAAAGGGGACGAAGCAGGTGTAGGGTTTTAGGTCTACTAAGCAAATCTGTAAGGGCTTTTGTTCCTTCATAGAGATTAAGATAGAAAGGGGACAAAAGGTGAAATTTGTGCAAAAATATAGAGTACTTGAAGAGTTTGATCGGAGTTGGACGCCGGCCGAGGACAATTGACTATGAGGTCACTGTAGCTCCGGTGGCCGGAGTTGGGGGAGATGAAATATCAAAATTGATTGGTCATAAACAGATCATTTTGTTTTAGATCGATCTAAGTAAAGATGTAATTTCTGGATTTGCGAATTGGTTGATCTACTCTTTTTTGGTCGATCTAAGGTGGTAGTTTCTGAATTTGAGAATTGCCCATTTGACGAGGGAGCCCCCATTCATCTTGATGATAAACAAAATTTGTTTATCTAATGGCATTTTCGTAAATATATCAACAAATCATCCCAGTCAACATGACATTTTTGTAAATAAGTGAATAACTTTTATTAATATGCGGGTCCCATAAATGTTGACTTATTTACAAAAATGTCATGCTGACTGGGATTTTTTATTGATTTATTTACGAAAATGTCATTAGATAAACAAAATTTGTTTATCTTCAAGATTAACTTGTATTTTCTCCCATTTGACGGAGGATCAATTAAGGTCCACATTAGAGGCGAAACACAGAAATGAAATCATGGAAAATAAAATGGGGCGTATTCGAGCGTCAGGCAAAGGTAGGAAAATAAAGTCACGCCAATCGAAAGTCGAATTTTTTTGACGGGACTCGAAAGTCGAGATTATATAGTGTACTTTGTATTAGGAAATTTTGTCCGTAACTACCAATTAAAGCACGTGTTTTGAAAACAATTACCTATTAAATTTTTTTTTAAAAGAACTACTACAAAGATATAAAAAGTTTAACTAGCACTACCACTTTAACAATTTTGGCTAAAATCTCCGATATTTTGGTCTCACTTTTTACCTTTATGAAGGGTAGTTTAGTTAATTTAGATGATGATTTTATGAGGTAAAGGTAAAAAGTAGAACCTACATGCCGAATATTCTAGTTGGAATTATTAAAGAGGTAGTGCTACTTAAACTTTTTACAACTTTGTGGTGGTTTTTTTAAATTTTTTTTTAATAGGTAGGTGTTTTCAAAACACGCACTTTAATTGGTAGTTTTTGACAAAATTTCCTTTGTATTACAGTAATTTACAAACTAACTATAGTACACTAGTATTTAGCACGGGCATCTAAACTTTTTTACGGAGTATTTATTTTTGAAGTGAAATTAAAGATAAATACTTTTTACGAAGTAAAAGATAAACTGAGTAAAGACTAAATACGGTCCCTGAACTTTTGTATTATGCTCACTTTTAGTCCCTGAAAAAGTTTTTGTGCTGTTTTAGTTCCTCAACCACCTTTGTGGGTGTTTGTTAGCCAAAAGTTGAGGGACCTTGATGACTAAGCAATAGTTTAGGGACCTTGAGTTCGCAAAAAAAGTTTAGGGATGTTGAGTTATCAATTTATAAGAAAGTTTAGGGAAGATGACAAAGCAAAAAGTTTAGGGACCTCAGCCATTAATGTTCCAACAATTACACATCAGTTGAACAAAAATTTTTGCTGAATCAAAAAACAAGCCGTTAACAAAATTCAGGCTTATAAATATTCGAAGTTCAGAACAAAAAAAAAATAGCTGTTGAACATCAAAATAATTTTTGCTCCACAAAAGTGCTTCCATTGAATCAAGAACTCAACTCCAGGTACCTGATTATAAGTGCTCCACAAAATTGCTTCCACACCCACTCAATCAGACTCACCTTATAATTTCTTATACTATGTATTTATTACTCCGTAATAAAGATTTTACTTCAATTTTCCAAATTATTTATGATGTATGGTCGTATGTTACTTCCACACCCACACAATTTTTTTTTATCATACTTATTTTTATTTTATAAGTATAATATATCTTAGTAATTGCTATTTTTTTTATATAATAAATTCTCAGTCAAATGTTTGCTAGTCCAAAATTACATAGTCAATTAATAAGGAGCAACAATGTACTACATTGTATTGCATCAACAATGTACTAAAACATTGTATTGCATCAATTAATAAATTCTCGTTTTATTGATTTGCTAATCGTTTTTGTGGAAAATTTTCAATATGAATCCTTAAAATAAAATCCGATTTTAATTTCAATTTTAATTTTCTTAAACAACTACGCACTAGTGCGTTACCCCTGATTGAAAATCCTGGATCCGCCAAAAGATAGGACATGATTTTTTTTTTAAAAAAAAAAGGATGGGACATTATAATGCTATAAATAAAATGAAATCCGATTACATAAGAGCCCAAACCAAAACAAACAAGCTACTCCATAATAGCCAATTAAAGCATAATAATGGAGATACTTTTCAAAATGTTATCAATAATTTTAATCTTTTTCTTCACCATATCCACCTTGTTTGTCTTCCGAAAAGGTACAAGAAACTATAATTACCCCATTCCTTTTGCCACGTGGCAAGATCTCTTCCTTACACTTTTCTTGCTCAGCTCCGTAAAAAATTTTAGCTTGCTGAAGAAGCTTCGTTGTAAAAAATATTAAATTAATAAAATCTGACTCAAAGTCTTTAAACTTTTGATGACTCAACATCCCAGACAATACAACTTGTACAAGTATTCAAATCCTATTCGAAGTAATTTATTTTATATGGATCTTCTCTAATAATCCCTATATAAATCAATTTAAGATTAAACATCATCTTATTATTTTATAATCAAACCGTGAACAACTAAACATGATGAAGAAAGTAAATACATCATATTATAATTTTTTTCCTATTGAGCTAATTATGGATATACTCTCATGGCTACCCGTTAAATCTGTTGGTCGTATTAAGTGTGTTTCCAAATCATGGTGTGGCGTAATCAACGATCCGTATTTCATCAAGCTCCACCTTAGTCGATCCCTCGAAACACACTCTAATAGCACCCTCATCATGATTAACGCTTATAACTATGGAAGCCAAAGCAAATTCTACTCGTTTAACTTTAACGACCTAAATCACAACTACCAATTAACCCGACTTTGTTACCCTAAAGAAAGTGAATGTCCTGATGGTTGGATTTATAGCTCGTGTAATGGCTTACTTTGCTTAGCATTTGCACATGAACGTAATAAGGGTTTATATGACTTTAACCATTGCCTTTATAATCCTACCACTCGAGCTTATAAATTACTACCCGTATTCAAATTTACCCTAGAAGCTACGTTTGTTGAACACATTAGAACGTTGTCACTTGGCTATGATTGTGTTTCCGGTGATTATAAGGTTTTAAAGATTGTGGACTTGTGTCGAGATTCTACTTGGACGGATAAACTAGATCATAAAACATTGCTCTATAGCTTAAAAAATAAACTAGATCATAAAACTTTGCTCTATAGCTAAATTCCGGAGCTAGTAAGAAGATTGATTTGTTTGGTTTGCCGGATGATCTGATGATGACGGCTAAACAACCTTGGGTTGAATCGCTTGTCGATCCCCTTGCATTATCTATCAATAATTAAAGCAGAATTTATAAAATAATGGAGCGATTTACAATATGCATTTATTGGTTTAGTGCGTTTCTGGTGTGGCTAGTCACACAGTGTGGCAAGGTGTCACATTAGTAATTTCTGAAGTAACCCCTGTCTAGTAACCCCCGAAGTAACCCCTCTAGTAACCCTCGAAGTAACCCCTGAAGTAACCCTTGAAGTAATTCCTCTAGTAATCCTCGAAGTAACCCCTGTCTAGTAACCCTCGAAGTAACCCCTGTCTAGTAACCCCCGAAGTAACTCCTAAAGTAACCCCTGAAGTTACCCATCTAGTAACCCTTGAAGTAACCCCTGTCTAGTAACTAACCCCTAAAGTAACCCCTGAAGTATCCCATCTAGTAACCCCTGTCCGACTTAGTAGCGCCTAACCGGATCTAGTAACCCTTGGCCGAATCTAGTAACCCCGATATAGTAACCCTTGGCCGAATCTAGTAACCCCGATATAACCCCTAACCTGACCTAACCATTAATTCCACCGCTAAAGCGGCCTCGAAACCACCAATTCCAACCACCACAACAATCAACCACCACCCATTCCAACCAAAATTACCAGAAGAATATGGAGTAGTCTAATAATACTCACAACTTTCAATACAATATTATGAAATAATTTTCACACACACAAAAAATGATTAAAAAAATTACTCCTAACACTGTATAAAGTATAGAAATCATATTTCACAAAATATGCTTGCAGTATAATTTCGGCTATAATCATTTGAGGAGCCATCAAAATCATCATCATTTTCAAATAATTAGATGAATCCCCCACCTTTTACATGCCTTGAATCTGCACAGATACCAAAGGATTATATACTAATATTCTTGCGTGCGAAGACGAAGACGACAGAGACAAAGATGACGACAGAGGTGACAGATCATCAATAGGAAATTGGAATGAAATTGATGAATTGTATCTAAATCTATTGAAATTTGGGGAAAATGTTTGGAAAATTTGTATCTGAATCTATTGAAATTTGGGGAAAATGTTAGGGTTGGAACTTTGAGGAGATCTGGGTTGGTTTGGAACTTCGGGAGCTTCGACGTCGAAGACGACGACGGTGGAAGTGAGTGCTCCAGCCATTGATGGTTAGAGAGAGAAAGTTAGAAAGAGAAAATGAGAGGAGAGGAGAGAGAAAACTTTAAAAAAAAAAATAAAAATAAAATTGTGGTTGGCCGCACCGTGTGGCCAGCCACATATGAAACTTTGTGTTATTGGTTAAGTATTATTGGATGGATTGATATGCATTTTGTAGTTTACTATGCTAGCCTTTTATTGGATTATTTTAATTTGTTTTTTTGCAATTAAGAGATTTCATATTGTGCAAAATATTGAATTAAAACAGGTGTGATTTGACAAAAAAAAAAAAAAAAAAATTA